ACGTGTGAAAGATATGGTATCTTCCACTGGTGAAAGATATCAAGTTTTCAACACTAGAGAAAACCTGGTATTTCATCGATATCTATATAATAAAATACATTAAAACCCCGCGTGTAAGAACCTAGATTTTTCCAAGTCAGCTTGAACAGGTTCTTATATAAATGGACCTTAACTTGAAATCAGGTTATTCAGGTTCTTAAATGGGTTCTTAATTTTTAGTAAGAAAACGAGTACTTGTATTGGTGGGCGTGGCATTTTATACATTAAATAATTCACATATTTTTATGCTAGCTACATTGAATATAGTAGAGCGCAAACAGTAACGAACTATTTCGATCTTATTTCATGGACACAGTGTAAGCACTCTAACATACAGAGTACTGTATTTTATTATTTACAAGAAAATAAAACAGGATGAATTTATATTTGGAAATTAAGAACCTATTTTGACATTTCAGCCTCAAATGGTTCTTGTGTGAAGGGTGTTTAAAATGAAAATTCCAGCCTGACAGGTTCATTAATTTAAGTACTTACACGCGGGGTTTTATTGTATTCAAATGACTTTGCATGATAGGTTAAAATTGATTTACTTGCGACCGTTTAACATCCTTTCATTGTTCTTTGGTTGGGGTCTGTTGATTAAGAAACATTCTCTACTTTCACATTGCACACAATCCTTTACAGCTTAGCGTAATCAGAGAAAAAACTGACCACAAGATGTTGAAAATACCCCTTTTGATATTCAAACATATATAATAAAACGATTAGCAACAAAAAATGAAGCAGTATATAGTAAACACTTCTTTTCTTTGACACCAAACCTCTTGATGTTCTGAACGTATACTGAGAATTAGCTTAGAAAATACTGAAAACTAAACTCTATTTTACCGATACAAGAAGATATAGAAAACATCTGATTAAACAAACGCTTCATTTTCTGACAGTTTTTCTCCCCCCACCAAGGCGCAAAGCATTGCGGGCAATGTTAAAATAGAGAATATGAATAATCATTATTAAGTATACAAAAAGGTTTGTTTCACTTCTGACTTGGATTAGAAGAAGACATTAGAATAAAATTAGAAATGATTACAATAGATTTTAAAATTAATATATGGAATATTTGTTTAAAAGAAAAGATTATGTAAAGATAATTACTTAACTAGCGGTAAGATCTAATAAAAAACCTAAATGTGCTTTTCAGTACTGACAATACAAACTAGCAAGTTAGATAGTCAACCCAGGAGAATATCTATTGTGTGTACAATAATAATATGCGTTTCTCATAAAATAACAAATATCAATTGGTGTCACAATAGATAAGCTATTTTTGTTGTCACTCTATATAATTCATTTCCTCGAACAGTTGAACAATTATGTTGGCCATGCAATACAATCAGAAGAGGTATTTTATTACTTTGATACTAATAGGACTTAGGACAAATATTTATTTAACATTATTTTATGTATAGATATTTCTTTCTTTCTTCCTTTCTTTCTTTATACAAGGTTCTTTTCAGTAGCTGAAAGTCTATTGCATGCGATATTATGTACTGATATGCATGTACTGACAGAATTAAACCAAATTACTTGAATATAGTTTATACTTCCTCGATTAATTTTACGGATCAAATGTGTGATACAAGGCAGAGGTGTTTAGATTATCCATAATTGATACCTCTAAGTAAGAAAAACCATCTTCATTAGAACGAAAGAGCCCGCCAGCGCGTAATACCCTTTATTAAATGACAATATCATTAAATTAGCCAGTACCTCGGTAGAAAACCTGTTCACGTCAGATCTGCCAGATTGAAAGATTGAATAGGCCGGTTTATTTTGAGTTGTAATTTACTTATGCCACTAGTTTCTAATTCCTGCCTGATCTTATCCAATCAACTGTAAACGCTTTTTTTTAATCAACAGAAAAAGGCACAAGTCGAGACAAGAAGTCCTATATATTAAGTACCGAATTTGCAAGAACTGTCAACTTAGGACTTTAATTAACTGCTATTAATTGACTGTTGGTTCATGATGCCATCAGCGTTTGAGCAGACTGCTACCATCTGTAAGGATCTCAGTTGACAGTTAACCAAGGCGGAAAGGACTACAGTTAATATATATTGGTTTAAAGTACACTATCTGCCTTCATAATATAATGGAGTTCAATAATACTACGATAGAAACTAACAATACAGCTTTTGATAATTGGACATCGTTTCCACCAAACGTCCATGGAAGAAGACATCCTGCGGGTGCACTGTTAAATCTAAAGGAACTACTTACTCTTCTCCCATTATCGATTCTTGTTGCTCTGACGAATGGCTTGGTGTTTGTTCTATTCATCAAGAGAAAGAAACTTCGAACTCCTGCTAATTATTTGCTTGTTAGTCTTGCTGTAGCAGACTTTATCACGGGCACTGTCAACATACCACTCTTTATTGCCTATTTGAGCACCCTTGATCATCAGATTCTTCTGATTTTTGACCCTTTTAATAAGTTAACCGCGATCTTAACGGCCTATCACATCCTCGCCGTGACCGCAGAAAAATATATCGCCATCGTGAAACCACTCAGGCATCATAGTGCCAATCCTAAAATGCCTTTTATCGTTCTTGGCATCGTGTGGTTGATATCCTCTGTGGTAGCTGTCATTCCTTCGTTCTGGATGACAATGATGCGTAAAACACACCGTAAGACAACAGTCCACCTCCAACTGGGTCATGATGTGTTTTGTTTCGTGTTTGTATTCCTTTTACCCTATATTTTTATGGTATATGCCCAGGTTGTCATGTTTAAAGCCATCTCAAAAAGCAAGAGCAAAAATAGTTTACAAAGAGCCGTAACATCAAACGCCAGGCAAAGAAAGGCACGGGGCATCACAAATGAAAGAAAATGTCTGGCCATATTTGCCTGTATGGCGGTGTTGTTTGCTATTTGTTGGTTACCCTGGTTCCTCTTGACTTTTCTAGCTACACTGACGGCTGTTGTTAAACAACTTCTACCTATAATTGCAAAACCAGAAACAATGTCCTTACTAAAAACCTTTGCAATTGTAAGGTTTTCCACCTCTATCATCAACCCCATTCTGTACACTTTCTTTAAACGGGATTTTATGAATGCTTGCAAGAGTTTCTGCCACTGTGGTTCTTCGCGCCCGCGGTCAAGTAGGATGTTATCCTTCGAAAGTTCAATACCGATGACAAGGAGTACGAGAAGACGTTTAGCAAAGAGCAGGAACTCTCATAATCTTCAAGATGCAAATGAACAACAGGTGAACATTTCAACAACTGAGGACATAGTCATGCAAGTAATTACAAGTCTGTAGAACAGGTCAAACCAATAGTTATCTGATAAAACAACAGTAGATATGAAATGGGGGTTCTACATCAATCCAGCTCCGGAGCCGTTCCGGAGCCAGCGCATCGGAGGGATGCCCTGACTTCTTGTCCGAATTTTTGGACAGCTCATGCCTATTTTTAGTATAGCCCTCTACTGAAACCATCTTCAAGATTACCCCCCTTCTCCTGGAGGTTGGAGAATAGGTCATATCCACATGACATACCCATAGTGTATCAATGATAAAGTGGAATTGAATAATCTAGTATCTTAGAAATCCATGTATGAGTCATGTTTAATATTCAATACGGGTGAAGGCAATGGTCATTGGCCATGATGCTCCTGTATATATAATGAATCCATAATTGTAGACTTGAATATAGAGTTGAATATAGATGTCATGATTGTCAGATGATATTTAATAGGATACGTTGTGTGTGACACAGACTATCGTAAATTTTTAGTTTAGGAAGAAAAAGAGTGTTTTATTTGACACGAGTAATTAAATTAAGGTTGAACGATGCATCGGAATATCAATATATCGCAATATTAAAGCCACGATAGCGATGCATCGATGGAAACATTGTATTATCGATAACTATTGCGATAGTTGACTTTGACTATCGATTGTCTCAATTCTGAAATGATAACGAACTTAAAACATTTGTTAGCAGATAATGTGTGGTGCACAAATTACTCGTTTTTTCTGCTTCAGATTACACCTGATTAAATAAAATCTCGTAAACACTTCTGTCGAGTCGCCATCTTTAAAAGTACGAAAGCCTGGTAAAAAAGATTTCTCTTAGAGGGCAAGGGCGGCGGAAGCTAAAAATCTTTGAGAGGGCACTGCATAGATTTGGGGGGGGGGGGGGGGGGGGGGGCGGGGGCGGGGTCGGCACTGAGGATTATATTTAACGCTATGTGATAAGGGACTGTGCAATAATTATCGGGAGGGGAGGTTCTAAAATTAATAGGGTGGTCAAAAGTTAAATTGGAGTATAGGGTAGGGGGAGGTTAGAAGCTAATTGCTTAAATATGGAGAGGGGGTGATAAGTCAATTTGGGATTTTGTTCACTATAAAATTGAAAAGATGCATATAAATGTACTATTTAAAATAAACATTCATTGTTATATTTTTTACTGTATAAAGAACACAACTTGTCACAGGTGCAACCTCAAAACCATATGTGTTGAAATATAATGTATAAACTGAGTATCCTTTGTAATAAAAACAGTACAAAAAACAGTAACTAAAAACAGTACAAGTCCAACTTTCTATACTGTACTGTGGTAAAGTTATGCCACACTGATTGACTGTATATAAGACAACTGAGTATGTCATGTCTTTTTTGTTTTGTTTTGTAATAATTTTTCATTCTAGCTTTATGTTCACGATATTTAGTGCTATGTCAAAGGTAAAAACAGAAGCTCCTTGGCTTACCCAACAAAAAATTTCGAAGAAAGAAGACCCCTGAGGGGCAGGATTTGTCAGTTTGAGATGTAAAAATTAGTAGAGTGTCCTCATCAATATTGTCAAGTTGTCGGATGCCATATATCTCAGGGCTGTATTCTTTTGCTGAAGGATTTCCTCCTAAGGAATTAAATATAACACATGCCCTTTTCTTCCTATGTTCTGTTGCCGAAAGGCGTTGGTGGACACGTATGGGGGGAGGGGGGATTGATAGCTATTTCATTTCAAAAGGGGGAGGGGTGAGAAGTTATTTTACGTTTTGCACAGGGGGGGTTTAGCTTCAATTTAAGCCCAATTTGAAGGATTTTAGAACCCCCCTCCCGATAATTATTGCACAGTCCCTAATGATAATTTTTTGTTTGGTTGCAGACGCATGCGCCGTAAAAAAAAGACTAAGAACCAATATTTGGGGGGGGGGCAGGCCCCCAAAAAAATTTGGTGGAGGGGGGGGGGGTGGTGCACATGCCCCCCGGTTTCGCCGCCCCTGGAGGGGGAAGCATAAAATTCAGTCCAAGCTCGTCGCCAGAGCCCTCTACTCGCTCTTCAAGAAAAACATGGCAACAAACGAAGGCATTTCTATTTTCTATAATAGACATTAAACTAACTGCAAAAATTTTATCCCGACTTTCTCACCTTCTTTTGTTTAATAAGAACAAAAGAAGGTTTAGACAAAAGAAGATTTAGACAAAAGAAGGTTTAGACAAAAGAAGGTGAGAATTTCGGGATAAAATCGCATGCGCAGTGGAATCGATTCTTAAACTATGAAAAGGCTTATACTATCGCAATTGTTGGAACAAAATATTGCAATACTATTGCAATAGGGAAAAAGTGCTCAATAGTCATCACTAATTTAAATATCTCTTGTTTATTTTAACAGTAATGATAAAGCAAGAATTTGGATCAAAAAATTAACGATAATAGATATTAAAATATCTGCATGACATCCGTTGCCTAATGAAACATAAATAATGTCTATAAATGTCTGTCTGTCTGTGTGTCTGTCTGTTGTTCGCCACTTATACACTGTATATTATAATGAATAGAGGGGAATGGTTATATGGGAGTCAGGCCCCGTCCACACGTATCCGGAAATTTTTGCATCCGAAAATTTTTTTTTTGCGGATACGAAAATGTTCGCGTCCACACGCAGCGTATTGGAATCGTTTTCGAATCGTTTTCATTGTCCACACGTATCCGGAAATTTCATGATCCGCCCTGATGCACGCTAGTGCCTAGTCCATTTGACGGATAGTTTTTCTTATTGACCATGCGCAAAATCGTATTTACTTCATCGCATTCGAAAATTTGCGGATACGACCGTCCACACGTATCCGTATTCGCAGCGTATTCGAAAATGTCCACTCTGGAGACCGTTTTCGAAAATTTCCGGATACGGATACAAACATTTCCGGACACGTGTGGACGCAACCCGTATCCGCAAAAAAAATTGGCGGATACAAAAATTTCCGGATACGTGTGGACGGGGCCTCAGACAACGCTGCGCCTTTTCAGACCTATGTATCGTTTTCTAGTGGAATTAACATAACAAAAGGTATTCCACAATTCCCTGTAATGAATTAATATATAATGAATAAATAATTAGCACCTTTGCGTACATTTGTTTTCTTAAGGGCTTACTCGCTCAAAGAAAGTGCTTAATGAAGGTATCTATCATAGTATCCCACACTGAATACACAACTCATTTTTCCGTAAAATTTGCGGATACGGACACAAAAATTTGCGGATACGTTTGGACGGGGCCTTAGTATATGTATAGGTATTTTTGTATTCATTATTTGGCAAACACGACAATTCCACAAGATGTTGTTGTTGTTGTTTGGTTTGCTAAGAAGGGTTAATGGGGGCTAGAAAGGGCTAATGGGGGCTAAGAAGGGCAAACGGTGGATAGGAAGGACTAATGAATAATAGAAAGGGCTAATGGGGGCTAAGAAGGGCAAACGGTGCCTAGGAATGACTAATGAATAATAAAAAGGGCTAATGGGGGCTTGTACGGTAGGAGGGACTAATGAATAATNGGGGGGGGGGGGGGGGGGGGGGGTTGATAGTTATTTCATTTCAAAAGGGGGAGGGGTGAGGAGTTATTTTACGTTTAGAACAGGGGGGGTTAGCTTTAATTTAAGCCCAATTTGGAGGATTTTAGAACCCCCCTTCCGATAATTATTGCACAGTCCCTAAGAAACCGCATGGGCGTTCATACGACAGAAAGACCAATAAATTAAATTATGTAATTATGTATTCTCTGGTAATCAGTAGCCGTGCAAGGAGGTAAATAATGTGGAAGTGTTATAGGTATCGGACTAAGGTTCTGTGAAGGAATTTCGACGTGATGTGTAATTTTGACTGAACTAGAAGAGAATTAGTGGCACATTTTGAGGGTTCGAGCGAGCTTGCTGAATTTCTGAGTCTTATTTTTTACTGTATTTTGACAATGAATTAACACTAATAGACAGCTTGGGCTACCTGTGTTATAAGCAAGGCTATCTTGCTATAAAGCATGATGATGTTTCGTTCGGCCATTTTATTCACGTACGTCAATTTTTGTCTGATAGAAGTGTGATTTATTAGCCGAGAATGGTTGGGAAACGGTCAATATTGTGCATTGTTGGGTGAGGAATTGTTATACTTGGTGAGGTTTCCAAACTTCGAATATGGACACAAATGATTTTTGTCCATATTCGGGGTCTGGTAGAGTATTCGCGGGATCACGGTAAAATATATTGCAGGAGCCGGGAAACTAGTAAAAGAATCCTATTACGTGACATCAACCGTGACTCGGGAATAGAAGATTTGCACCAGGTCACGTGACCATACCGCCCTTAAAACGAGCATTTTTTTGTGGAAACAAACTTCACAAATGAAAAAAGTAACTAAACATTAGGAAGAGGGCGAAGTTTAAGCTCATGTTATAAACATGCATTAAATATAAAATGGAGTATTTTATAAGGGTTTGTATGGGAAAACGTAAACAGTTCCCCATACAAATCCTTATAAAATATTCCATTTTATATTTAATGCCATCTTCTCTGTTTCACTTGTTATAAGCTAAAACCCCGCCACCCTACTAATATTGAGGTGCGTTTTTCATTTCTATTGTTCATTTTAACGCAGCTGCTCGTTTTAAGGGAAGGAGGGTCTCGTGACCTGTTAATGCAAGCGAATTCAATGCTCGGGATGTGGGATTTAATCGGGGGAAATGCGAAAAAATAATAAATAAAATAAAAATTCAAACGCATTTCAATATGTCGAATGTGAAAGGAAGATGACAAGACGTCGCGGGATGCGTGATTTCGTGAAAAAATAACGCGTGATTCGGTATCCGAAAACTACCCCACCTCAAGGAAGACCCTGCATATATTTTCTTCAAAGAGCGCTTGCATGCTCTTTCTGTAAGCACAAACATATCCCGCTACCTGGCGGTCAACATTGTTAAAATCACGTGATATCAGACCTTATTTCATTGGATATTTGACTATATAATGACAGCCAATTGACAGCAATCGCGAATATTAGGGGCTAGCAAACTGAATACAGTTACTCCAAAGAGTAGATAGACAAAGCAGGGGAAACCTGAAAGACCCAGAACGAATATCGCAAGATTCCTTAGATATGCTGATGTTCATGAGGGTATCTTAAGGATTTCTTAAAACCTTAAAAATGCAAGATATGATCATCTACCAAGATCTCTCTATCAGCATAAAAGCAACCTACCTATATTATATAAACTTATCGTTTTATTATATAGCTAGTACTTTTTTCGGTATTGAATTTATTTACACAAAAAGAAAGACTGTTGCAGGATCTTGCAGCACTTCGCGTGCGCAGATGGCGTCAGCACTGTGTTTTGTTCACTAATAAAGCACAGTTTTCGACCAATCAGCGCCCGCGTACTATCCAACTATATAATGAATAAATGAATGAATGAATGAATGAATGAATGAATG